CATATAGATGATCAGCTAGGCTCCCCGGTAGCTCTTCTGCCTCTACGTCATCATGAGGAGAATGACAAGGAAGAGGAAGATGAAGAGGAGGAAGAGGTCGACCCAGATGAGGAGCAGTATCTGTTGAGAGGGAAGTCCGACATAGGATTTCCTGGCATCCTGAGCTCCACAGGGCTGCTGGAGGCTGACGGACACCTCTCCCCGCACCACCACCACACCTCTGGAGAGGATTCTGAGTCCCAGCCTCCTTATTTCACTGCCATATGTGATAAAACAGATAACGTGCTGGCAGGTAACGTATAGTTCCACCTGTGTGATGCACCTATTTCTGCCCCCTTGTTCCTCAATCTTCCTGCTGCTGGGATAGACGTCGTAGAGGCAGGGAAGGTAAGAGGTGGCGCTTAAGAAAATGAGGGGATTAATCTACTAGATGTATCCATGCCACTACTTCTGTGATGTTACTACTGTGGTCATAATTAAGTCAATGGTTTCAACTTCTCTACGTTCAATAGCTACTACAATTACTTGTCTGTATTCTTCTTGGCTTATTGCATATCTGATCAGCTAAACTGGCATGGATTGACCAGTCTGTTATGTTAGGGTTCAGGGGTGGTTAGGGGCACTTAAGGACTGTTTTGGGGAGGGGGCAGAATACAACGGAATGGACTCTACCTTTTGTGTAATTATCCTACTGTTTTTACCAAACAAAGTTGTTTTTTTTTTGTATGTCTATTTTATTTCTGTTCCATGTTATGAGATTCGAAAGCCTGTCTTTTCTTCGTCTACCCATTTCTGGTTATGGGAATCAGTATCTTTACTTATATTTCTTCTGATTCCGAAAACAATGCCGTTTTAGCTTTGACTAAAATTTTAGCACAACTCTCCTTTCTTCCCCATGGCCAGTTTTATTTCTAGTTGTGTAGGGAAGCTGAACTGGCAAGTTTTAGGATCTTAGGTTTCTGCAGTATATAGAAAGGCTCCATATTTATCATTCATATTTGCTGGAAAGCAGGTTTTAAAAGGTCCCCGGACTCCTTTCAATGTTCCCCCCCCAGGCTTCATTATCCTTGCTACTTTTTCAGAATCACCAGACCAAACTACCTAAAGTTTTCTCGACGTAATTTCAAAACTTGGAACGCTTCATTAAAAAGTATTGGGACTTCTGGCACATTTCAGACACGCAGCGCAAGTTCTCTTTGTAATTTTGCAATTTATATAATTCAGACATTTAAGTAACCGGAAACTTTGCTATGAAGCTGGATCGCAAAATCTCAGGAAACAGCGTAGAATGATGGCAGGATTTCCTGAATCTGTGACGACAAGGATATTTGTGTTCGCGTGCGGCTGAACTCAAAGGCAATGGTATTTTCAATTGGAACTTAAACTGGTCTGTGAAATGGTATTAAATGCAGAATCTTGGTATAAAAAACCCTTGTCCTTGTCTTCATTTTTCTGTACCTCATGCCCCCCCTCACGTGTGCGTCTCTGATTGGTCTGCCGAGCTGCCACACACACTGGGATTCTGTAAGTCCAGAGTATTGAGAGAACGTCCGTTTATCCCTTTATTGGTCTCCAGTATCTGTAACCCACACATCTTCCAGCATGGTGGAACCACATTAATGGGAGCAAATGTGTGGAAATCTGCGATTGCCCTCCTTCAGTCCCCTATAACTTATACAGTTTGAGTCATTCTCTGCTTGCCTTCCTTCATCATCTTGATACATGGAATCCAAAATTGGCCATCTTCTCTGCTTTGTCCTTCCCTCCCCTATGAAGCCTCTGGTTGCTAAGCAACCCTAAAATTCACTGAGACTCATTTCAGGTGCGATTTAAGGTCACAAGCCCATTAGGAGTGATGACTGTGTACAATAGTCACCCATCGTTTCCATTACTAACTCATCTGATGTAGAGATGCAGTGAGACAGAAATCTATCGCTGGGAACACGGGCCATGAAGTAGGGGGGTGGGGGGGGCACAGACCACCTCACACTCTAATCCCAGCCGCGGAGATGTGACGCTACCCCCCACCTATTTCCATATTTAATATATACAAGCCATGAATAAATACGATGTTTGCATGTCCCAGGATCTATCGTATCGCCACCATATCCCCAGCAGTCGTAAATACCAAGACGTCTTCTCCCAAACAAAGACAAAAAGCTGCGGCATAAAGAAGATCCTCTCCTAGCTTGTGTCCTTTGTCCTCCGTTCAGTGACATTCTGGCCATGAACAGTCATCACCTTCAATGTTTCGAGTTACTTCAAGTCCAGTCAGATGAGAGCCGCGCGAGTGCAGTCAGTGTCGGCCGATTGGTTGTTTATTCATGTTGTTGTGACCCTTTTAATGTTGTTTGGAAAATGACCAGGACAATCGATGCTCGCCATCTGTTGTCTCATATCTAATTTCCTGTAGCTTCTGTAAGTCCTCCTCTTATTGGATTCCCATCCTCTGCCCTTTTCCTTTCTCACTGCTTAACCTCGTACTTCCCTTCCCCCTATAGGCGGTTTGAGGAGCTCTAGTCCTTGAGGGCCACAGTCCTGAAGGACTACATCCCTTTAAAAAAGAATCTGATGAAAGAGGAAGCAGCATCAGGGTGTTGATATATTAGTGCGACAGGTGGTAGACATGTTTAAGGCAGTGGTTCTCAATCCTGTTCCTGGTGACCCACCTGCCAGAATGTTTTCGTTCCAACCCTACCTTAATCAGGCTTATATGGTCCTTAATAGGCTGAAGCCGGTTTCAGACCGAACGCGGCGAGCTCTACGCTACTGCATTTTTTTCAGATTAGGTAATCTCGAACATCCCACAGGGTGGCGCAGAAATCACATGTGGGTCGAGGTGATCCCACATACGGTGACGCTCCACTAGCAAGGAACCCCCAAGCCAAGGGAGCAAAAACATGGACTGGCTGCGGGTCACGGACCGGGTTAGGAAACCCTGGATTAGAAAGACAGGAACGATTAGAGCTGGATAGGCTGAAGCTGAAGGAGGAGCAGAGGCTTCTGGGTCGGCATAGCTGGGACCTCCTTCAATGTCAACCGCGACGCAGACAGCGGTGACACAAACACAACCATGAGGCCCAGCAGCAGCTCATATACCAGAGCTCCATCCATCTATGAGGTCATGGAGACCAGCGAGGAGGAGGAGTGAAGACGGGGTCCCAAGTTGTGATTCACCAGAGCTGCTCCACCCGCTCCTCCACAGACCAGAACAGGCGCAGCAAAATGGACATCATCCAGCAGCTGATTACCCACACCGTCCTGTGCCTGATTATCCCCCATGCTCCTCCTCCCTGGTGGTGTTGAGGGCACCCTGAGTGCACTGGAGACGCACCTATGGCCCCCAATTCTGCCCCCACTTAGTTCTCCCTCTGCCAGTTACCTCTGTCGGTTGCTTCTCCCCAGACAGAGCTGTCACGTGCTCCCAAGGGGGCTACCCTTCACTGAGGGCAGAGTGAGCACATCTTATTGGGTCGTATACTATGTTCCATTTACCTCAGAAGTCAGAGCTGGGAATGACATTACACCCCGAGTTAACTGTGTTCCAATACAACATGTCAGTACGTAGATAGCGGTTGGACAGTACTGTGTGCACAACCGATTTAATGAGACACGAATAATACATAAGTACCAATAAACCATATATAACTACAGCTTTCACTTCTGTTGACGAAGGCTGCAGCCATCTTGAATTCTGAGGTCGGGGTTGCAGAAATTCCTCCAACTTTCCGAGTCGGAATTCCGATTTCAGGGGGTGCTCTAGTTGAAAATTTTGACTAGGAACTTGGACTTCTGAGTTCAAATGGAACGCACCATTAGTCCTCAGGCTTTGAGTTTTAGTGCGTGCGGTGAACACCGCATGTTACAGCCTCCTGATGCAACAGATGTGCAAGTCTTCTGCCCTACACTTGACTGGTCCACAATGACATGCATTCCGTACCCTTTGCTAATTTTCCACAGCATTTCTCTGTTATAATATACAGGTAAGTCCTCTGTGGTGGCAGACCGCTATTACCAGCTGTTAGAAAAACAATCTGCTCCTGGAACACAAATTTGCAACCCAGGAAATTTTTCAATGATCTTAGGTACACAAAGTATTGTGATTGTAGAATAATTTGTGCTCGGTTTTGGAGATGTAGATTTGGAGATATAGGCCAGTATACCGCTGCTAATGAGGAAATGTGGTCAATGTTGTCAGTTCTTTTATTTTGTTAGAGTGACCCTTGCAACCTCCCCCTCAACCGTGTGCTTTGAATCCAAACTGTTTTTTGAGGTGTGGGTGAGAAAGACAAAGAGATACACTCTCTGGGGCAAAGTTTAACGATGCAAAGCTGGGAGACGGCAGTGTGTGCTATTCAAAGGGCCACGAGGGACTTTCATACAAGGTACTTGTGTTGTGGTCATGTGAGCAGAGCCCGAGAGGGAGGCCAGCGTTGTCGGGGGAAGGGACGGCATGCCACACTAGGAGCCTGAGAGAGTGGGGAGAGAACGAATGACTTGTTCTGGTCTCTTTCTTTGGGGGCTTTTTCAGTTAACTCGGGCGGGGAGGGGGGTCTGCATTCCAAAAGCATGACCTCATCCCTGCAGTTCATGTTTGAATAGAATATCTGTGGGTACTGATGATGTCACAATGAGGGACTGCCAAAGGACAGAGGAATAGGAACAGAATCCATTTGGGAGGGGACAATCATTAGGGCGTGGGAGGGGTTTGGGGGAATGAATGAGACTGAAACCGAGAGTATGTAATAGATGTCACTTCTTTTTTTACTCTATAAATGCTATATATACCATGCTAGTGTTGTTACTATGTGAGAGTTGCGTGTGTAAAGACCCTAGCAAGGTACGCGAAGACCCCAGCAAGGCGCGAGGCTATTTACCCACACCAGGCACCTGAGCGGTTCTTTTCTGCTAAACTGTTTTGATTAATCAAAAGCGTATCTGAGCCTAATTCATTCTCATTCTCCCTGCAACAGTCGGAGTGAAAAGCAGATTTTATCATAAAGTACAAGCCTGAAATGCAGCCTAAGTACTTAATTTCCCTGCAAAAAGGAGAGGAAATAGCGGTATGCCCGAAGCAGCTGAACAGAGCTGCCATTCATCGTGTCGGGAAAGGAGCAGTAGGGCTCAGCTTTCCGGAGCGTAGCGCTGCCGCGTCGTCGTTTACGGTACACACAAAAGACTTGTTTTTAATGCTGACTTGGTTGATAACTATTTAAATAAAGTTCTATTATTATAAACCTAAATATTTTTTTTAATCAGATGATTTAAAGAATTAGCTCTTGTGAAAAAACATCGTGGCTTTTAAATGTAAATTTGCATTTGAATGTCTAACGGTCTTGGAATAATACAGCTTAACTCATTTTCAGCTTATGTCTTAGTGTATTTTATAAAAGCCTTTAATTATACAGTATACATGTTACAGTACAATTATCTACAATAAGTAGGGTAGTTTGTATACTAAGCGCATTTATGGTAATAAAATTAATGAATTAAACGGATGAATCACATAGTCTCAGGTAATGGATGATAAATCCCAAAATCTATTATACATCTGATTATTCATCTTATATTATACGTATGTTACACAATTTAGGTCGTATACATGCAACATGTGCGCTATAGTAATATCGTAGTTATAATTTTATAATTTTTTTGCACAGAAAATCTACTTTTATAGGACCTGTAATTATTTAAAGCGGCCAAAATATCCTACTACTAAATGGCGCGCCTTCTATTTCGTTTTTATTTGAGTATCCTTCTAAGGTATACAAGTATCAGCGGTATAACCGCTTAATTGTCGATCGGTGGGCAGGATATCTAGTCCAAACAAAGGAAAAGAGATTCAAAAATATATTAAAAATGTAAAATAAATTTGCACATGCAACATTTGCACAGACGCTCGTGTTCTCCTCAGTAAACTGAATCCGTTAATGTGACATTTGTCCCCCTAAATCAACAACAATCTATGTCTCGGCGACCAACCTCACTCACTTAGCGGTCGATCCCTGTCAATGCAGTTTTGCTTTTATGGCTGTAACTTTTAAACTTTTCAATGCCATTAATTCTGCATTTTTAATAGGAATAATATGGGCACAATTATCGCTCGCCAATTTTCACGTCGGCGGGGCTTTTACCCCCCACCACTGGCGCATGTTATGGAGTTCGGCCTACTGGAAGTATTATCAGAGAAAGGGAGCAATTCAAAATAATCTTCTTTTCTAAAATTTGAATAATAAATATAACATGACCTGAACACAGCAACATCGAGTAAAGTTACACAAAATCTGAGTTTGAAGTAGGCCTATACATCAAAATCAAGTAGCCTATTTAAATGCATTTTTAAGTCGTCATTAATTTAGCATTAATATCATTAATTTGGATGGATTGCTTGGCTGCTATTATTTCTAATAGGTTTTACATTAGATATTTAGGTGACTAGGGAACTTGAGCAAAATTTAAGGAGAAATTAAGCCTCCAAACTGCACTCCAGGCGCTCCGTAGGTTCCGAACGAGATCCGCTCCCTAGGTGTGTCTTTAAGTCGAATTTGTAGGTAAGTCGGAAAAGTAATATTACAGTGGATAACAGTAATGATTATACTGTAATAATAAAACTAACGATACGGTACTGTGCTGTACCTCAAGTCGCCGAACCACTGAAGCTGCGCGATGTTTTCATGTGCGTCACAAAGTAGTGCCTACGTTCGTTATTACGAGCCATTTTTTAAACCGAAATTTTGATATAATAGGCTTTATGGTATTTCGTTTGTATGCACGAGTTGTCCGTATGTCGGACGTTCTTAACCCGGGGACTGCCTATATCTTAAAGGGATGGAACTCCTGTTTAAACTCCTCAATGGCGAACATCCATTCCCCGCCTGGAACCATTAATCCCGCATTTCATTTTTATTTGCTTGCTGTTATTTAAATGACACCAAAGAGGTGTGTTCATTCGTCATTTACTGGCTTGCGACATAACGGCAGCGTATTCCATGGAAACGGTGACGTGTTATGGACACTGGTACTGTCGCTTTAAGAGAGCTCAATCACAGTGACCAGTTCCGTATGCCGTGGCGAGCAGTGTACACAAGCAAGACAGCAACGGAGAGAGCTACAGGCAGGGCTTATCTAGTGACCTAAGACCCAGACCTCCCGCGCTGAGACAAGGAGCTTGGCTGAGCAGAATGAATGGGGATCGTTCTCGATGTAGGTAATCTTTCTGTTCAGGTTGAGGTGGCTGTGAGCTGTGGGTGTCTGGTGGGTTCTCTTAACTCTCTCTCTCTTTGCATGACTGTATGTGACTGAAATCCCGTGGCATTACTGTGCAGGCATAGGAAGTATTTTTTTTTCATTTCCTGCTTTGACCAACAGCTGTTACTCAGCCTGTTTGGGTTCCTGTGTGCATTTTGTGTATCTGTGCTCCGTGTTTGTGTTTCTCTGTTTTCCCTGAGCAATTTCAGTCGTCTATCAATGGCTTTGTGTATGTTAGTATAGTGTGGGGACCTAAACCACTGTGCCCCCTGGTGGCTGTTTTATATTTATTGTGTACTGCAGGGTTTTGATATCAAGAATGGCACACTGGCTTAAGTTTGCATGTATTTAAGGTATCGAGTCAGACGTTAAGTTTAAGTTAACGTTAAGTTAGATACGTTAAATTGGAACTGATCTTTTTATGTTACATTATGAGCTGCTTTCTATAGCAGTGTTTCCCACTATAGAAAATGACGTTATTTTTTCTCGCACGTCCACATCGGTTTCCGTGTCTCTCACTTGTGCTCTTCCTCTCCGCACACTGGCACTTCTGCACTTGGGTACCCTGTTGCTTAATCACAAAGAGATTAGGGGCCGAATTCTCTGATTTACAACATTGTTTTTTAGTAGCATTGTTGTGGTGCTGCCCATATGATACTATTATCTCCACCTTCTGCGCATGAGTGTGTGTGTGTGTGTGTCATGCCGAAAAAGAACAGGTGTCCTGCCTATACCATTTACACCATACTGTTTACTGGAGTCTTGTGTTTTTATTAAGTGCATTATGTGTATACAGTGTAATATATAGACATGAACAATAACACAGATTCCAGTAATATCAGTTCTGCTAGTTTAATAATTGTTGATGTTGGCACACTACATAGCAAATAGAGGCGTGTTTACTTTGCAACAGAAATTAATCTCGCTAAGGATCCTTTAAGCCTCACTTCATTGTTAAGTGACAGTTCTTGACAGTTAGGAAAACGTGCCGGCCTGTCTCCTATACGTGGCGCCCGCCTGTGCGTGCCTCGCCGCGTTCTCCTTCCCTCGCTCTCTCTCGCCCTGTTTTCTCCGCACAGCAAAACAGGAAGTGGCAACTTTAGCCGCATGTGCGGCAGCTCGCTCACTCCTTGACCTCCAGAGAAGGTGGCGGCTTTTCATCTCTCCCGGCGTTCGGGTTTAGACCTGAACCTGAGACGTAAGTAGGGCTGCAGCGCGGTGTTTCTGCGGTGTTTCTGCGGAGGAGACGCTGATGGGGTCATGGCCGGCGGCGCTTCAGACGGCTGGCCAGAGCAGACCGCGATCGCCGGTCCAACCAAGCCCTGGGAAACTGTAAGAGCGGTAGGGCGACTGCGGTCTGACAATAGCTTTGTGGCTCTGCTTCTCTTCTCTTTACTTCCCTTAAAAAAGAAGCAGGATGCCGCTGATGATGCGTCTCTCCAGCCTCGGACGTGGTTCCAGTTCAGTTCTGCACGTTGGTGATGTTTGAGGTCTTTTGTTCTGCTCTGGGACTTGCCGTTGTGCCGTGGCTCTCTAGGTGATTTCCAGGCCCCCTGCCTGTTATACGCTGGCTCCTTCCTCTTGCTCTTTTGGGTAGCTCTTTGTGAAGTGTAATGCGTGACTTTCTGCCTCGTTCTCTGCTTTCCTACTTCCATGTGCCCTTGCTTACCTACCCCCCCACCGCCACGTGAGATGCGGTGCGGTGCAGTGATGCCGTTGACAAGATCACACCGCCCAGATATATAAATAACTCTTCATTTCCGTTGGTTTTGCATCGGGGGTCATGTGATTATTACTGTGCATTTTGCAAGCAGCCCTCCCTTTCCTCTTACCCCCGTTTCCCGCAGAAATGGGCTCGTGAGATAGTGAACTTCTCTGTGAGGCCCACTGAGGCTCAATCTTTATTCCCCCAAAGCGACGGCGATGTCAGGCAGTCAGTGACCCCCCCCCCCCCCCCCATTACCATAGGCTGAACTGTGGTGGTATTGAAGTTCCTCTTTTTTCCAGTTTAGAACTGAACAATACTGGGGAAAATGTCGAATTGCAAAATTTCAAATTTTTTGCAATAAATATTGCGAAATTCATAAAATAAAAGATTCTTTAAAGTTGACCCAAAATAAGCTATAGCTGAGTAGAACTTGTTATGAACCAACAAACTCTGTCAGATAAGTTAGTGATGTTGCCGTAAGCCTGTGCTGGCAAATCACTAGCTTTCGTTCAACATTGTGCCAAATCCCAAATATTTCCATACAGCTGAAAACGAGCCTTTTGGTCCTAGTTTGCGTTTCTCTATGACGGAGTAAAAAAACCCAGCTGACCACTGCAGCCCTTGCGATGTGACGACTGCATGTGCGTTACATGCACTGTCGATATTAACATCACGCGTTGTGCAAGCCTAGTTGAGCTAGCTGAACCTAAATCCAGAGCCGAAGCATAGTTCAGTGTTAGAGGCCAGCCTCTAAATCCAGCCTCTAAATCCACTGAGGCAGACAGTCCCCATTTAAGGGTCCCCTGAAAAAGTGAAAAGTGTGAGGTACCTAGAACACTGCCCCCTCTCCTCCCCCCCCTCTACGCCTGATTAAAGCAGTGATGAGGTACGCCGCTCTGCACCCCCCCGTCTCTTCCCACCCTAGAAGGACCAGGACAGGGTGTCTGTCTTGGAGGAGCTGGCCTTGGACCATGGATCAGACCTGGTGGATAGCAGCGTTCAGCGGCGACTGGACGCGCAACGGGACAGCATCCGGCGGGAGATCCGGCGCGAGCTGAAGATCAAGGCCGGCGCCGAGAACCTGCGGCGCGTCACCACGGACCGACGCTGCGCCCTGTTGGTGGACGGGCAGCTGCGCAGCTCCCGCCGCCGCCTGGACAGCCTGCAGGCTGAGCTGCAGGAGCTAGATGCCCACATCATGGTGAAGGGCCCAGAGGAGGCGCATGGTAAGCCCAGGTGGGGGCGCTGTGGTGTGTGATCATTTACAGATAAAAGTAATATAACCCCGTAAAGGTCTGCTGAGTCGGGGGGTGTGTGTGTGTCAGCGTCTGCAGATGCCCCCCGCACCCTCCCCACGCCTGGCCCTTCAGCCGAGAGTCGGGACCTCATCACGGCGCTGGAGCGGCAGCTGAACATCGAGCTGAAGGTCAAGCAGGGAGCCGAGAACATGATCCCTGTCTACACCGGAGGCTCCACCAAGGTACGTGTCTGCCGCCTGCCACAGCTCTCACATTCATGAACTCCACAGTGCTGTAGTATAATGAATATTAATGTGTATGTAATGGGTCACCATTGTGCTGAACCCATCCTCACTCCTAACTGATCTGCAATTTTAAACCTGAATTTGAGGAACCAGGCCACAGCTAATTGTTTATGTGGATAAATGGAAAGCGGGTGTGTGGATGGATGGATAGATATGGTACATACAGTTGCAACAGTGTTTTCTTAAACCTCCTTCCACTAGGACAAGAAGTTGCTCCAGGCCACACAGCAGATGCTGCAGGACAGCAAGACCAAGATCGACATCATCCGCATGCAGATCCACAAGGCCAGGCATGCTAATGACACGCAAGGTCAGCTCCCCACTGCTCAGCTCCCCACTGCTCAGCTCCCCACTGCTCATCTCCCCACTGCCCAGCTCCCCACTGCTCAGCTCCCCATTGCTCAACTCCCCATTGCTCAGCTCCCCACTGCTCAGCTCCCCATTGCTCAGCTCCCCACTGCTCAGCTCCCCACTGCTCAGCTCCCCATTGCCCAGCTCCCCACTGCTCAGCTCCCCACTGCTCAGCTCCCCACTGCTCAGCTCCCCATTGGTCCACCAGTCCCCGTGACCATTCATCCAGCCATCTGTGCATCCGTCCAACTCCCCGATTGCTGATTCTCTGTGTCTGTGCGTCTGTCCTTCTGGCAGCCAGTCTGCCTAACCAGGCATCCATGTCTGCTCATTGTTTCCAAAACTGAAATTAAAAAACACTAAATCTCTGCCTCCATCCTTCTCACATAAACCTAGCTGGCAAGGAGGGTCAAAAGCAGCACATCGGGTGATTAAAAAGGATCAGAGAGGAGGCAAATCTAAAATGCAAAGTGTGGAAAATGAAATGGGGAACGGGAAACGTCATCCCAACATGGAGGAGGTGTACGGAATATTACCTTATTTAGGGAGATGGAGGTGGTGTACGGAATATTACCTTATTTAGGGACATGGAGGTGGTGTATAGAATATTACCTTATTTAGGGACATGGAGGTGGTGTATAGAATATTACCTTATTTAGGGAGATGGAGGTGGTGTACGGAATATTACCTTATTTAGGGAGATGGAG